TACTTGAGATGCTTTGCTTACTTGAGGTGCTTTGCTTAAACGAGATACTTTGATTACTTGAGATTCTTTGCTTACTTGGGGTGCTTTGATTACTTGAGATGCTTTTCTTACTTGAGATGCTTTGCTTACTTTAGGTGCTTTGCTTACTTGAGATACTTTGCTTACTTGAGGTGCTTTGATTACTTCAGGCGCTTTGCTCACTTGAGGTACTTTACCTACTTGAGATGCTTTGCTTACTTGAGGTGCTTTCCTTACTTGAGGTGCTTTGCTTGCTTGAGGTGCTTTCCTTACTTTAGGTGATTTGCTTACTTGAGATGCTTGCTTACTTGAGGTGCTTTGCTTACTTGAGGTGCTTTGATTACTTGAGATGCTTTGCTTACTTGGGTGCTTTGATTACTTCAGGTGCTTTACTTACTTTAGGTGCTTTGCTTACTTGAGATACTTTGCTTACTTGAGGTGCTTTGATTACTTCAGGCGCTTTGCTCACTTGAGGTACTTTGCCTACTTGAGATGCTTTGCTTACTTGAGGTGCTTTCCTTACTTGAGGTGCTTTGCTTGCTTGAGGTGCTTTCCTTACTTTAGGTGATTTACTTACTTGAGATGCTTGCTTACTTGAGGTGCTTTGCTTACTTGAGGTGCTTTGATTACTTGAGATGCTTTGCTTACTTGAGGTGCTTTGATTACTTCAGGTGCTTTGCTTACTTTAGGTGCTTTGCTTACTTGAGATGCTTTGCTTACTTGAGGTGCTTTGATTACTTCAGGCGCTTTGCTTACTTGAGGTACTTTGCCTACTTGAGATGCTTGCTTACTTGAGATGCATCATTAAACTACAAAGTTCTTCAAGAAAAGCTTCTGAATTTGTTAAATACAACAAAACACCTCTTGATTTCTCGTTATTAATTTTTTCGTAGAGCAGCATTGTTTTATAAACCATTTTTTTTTATGTGCGCCTATCGTTTTAATAATACTGGGGATTTTCAGTCATCTTCCTTTACCAGAATGCCATTAAAAATTTCCTCCACTTTCTCAAAAAGCCGAAAACTCCTGATAGCGAGAAGTTACACATGTTGTTCGGTTTTTTGACTGATGATGGATTTCAAAGTGTTCTGGGGCTTTGCACAAGCGCCTAACGTAAGTCAAGCATCTCAGGTTAGGGAAGCATCTCAAGTAAGACAAGCACCTCAAGTAACACAAGTATCTCAAGTGAGACAAGCACCTCAAGTAAGTCAAGCATCTCAGGTAAGTCAAGCATCTCAGGTAAGTCAAGCATCACAAGTAAGACAAGCATCACAAGTAAGACAAGCATCTCAAGTAAGACAAAAATCTCAAGTAAGTTAAGCACCTCAAGTAAGACAAGCATCACAAGGAAGTCAAGCGTCTCAAGTAACTCAAGCAGCTCAAGTAAGACAAGCATCTCAAGTAGGGAAGGCACCTCAAGTGAGGAAAGCACCTCAAGTAAGCTAAGCACCTCAAGTGAGGAAAGTACCTCAAGTAAGACAAGCATCTCAAGTAGGGAAAGCACCTCAAGTAAGCAAAGCACCTCAAGTAAACTAAGCACCTCAAGTGAGGAAAGTACCTCAAGTAAGTAAAGCACCTCAAGTAAGGAAAGCACCTCAAGTGAGGAAAGCACCCCAAGTAAGCAAAGTACCTCAAGTAAGCAAAGCACCTCAAGTAAGGAAAGCATATCAAGTAAGCAAAGCACCTCGAGTAGGCAAAGCATCTCAAGTGAGCAAAGCACCTCAAGTAAACAAAGCACCTTAAGTGAGGAAAGCATCTCAAGTGAGGAAAGCACCTCAAGTAAGCAAAATACCTCAAGTAAGGAAAGCACCTCAAGTGAGGAAAGCACCTCAAGTGAGCAAAGTACTTCAAGTAAGGAAAGCATATCAAGTAAGCAAAGCACCTCAAGTAGGCAAAGCATCTCAAGCAAGCAAAGCACCTTAAGTGAGGAAAGCACCTCAAGTGAGGAAAGCAGCTCAAGTAAGCAAAGTGCCTCAGGAAAAGAAAGCAACTCAAGTGAGGAAAGCATCTCAAGTAAGCAAAGCACCTTGAGTAAGCAAAGCATCTCGAGTAAGCAAAGCACCTCAAGTATGCAAAGCATGTCAAATAAGCAAAGCACCTCGAGTAAGCAAAGCGCCTCCAGTACGTCAAGCAACTCAAATAAGGAAAGCATCTCAAGTAAGCAAAGCACCTCAAGTAAGCAAAACAGCTCTAGTAAGCAAAGCACCCCAAGTAAGCAAAGCCATCTCAAGTAAGCAAAGCACCTGAAGTAAGGAAAACACCTCAAGTAAGCATAGCATCTCAAGCAAGGAAAGCACCTCAAGTAAGCAAAGCACCTCAAGTAAGCATCGAGACATATATTTCGGTACAAGATATGTCCCCATACATGACGTACTTCCTGGAGAGTTGTTTTCAAGATGGCGATGGCAACAGTTTTAGGAATCATGTGCTCTTTGCATGTACTCTTTGCTCTGTAAAGTCAGAATTTGTTCAGTAACAGTCGAAATAATGAAAACTAGGGCGTTAATTCTGGTATTTACCTTTGTGTCCAATTATATCGTATTGTTAGCCAATGGAGGTAAGCTGAGAGATTTTCTTAATAGTTAAGCTTATAGCCCATAACTGTAGCTTCTTAAAACCGTAAGAGAAACTGAAGTAGTAAGCAATAACTAAGGGAGGCGTTTGGATGAGAAGGCAGATTTGTGAACTGGTTGTCTTAATATTTCAATCACGTTTGTACATTTTGCATGTACAAAACAAGCCAATGGCATATTATACTTGAGCTTAGATGTAAGATTACTTATTTACGTAATAAAAATGTATAGCGTAAATCACAAGTCATATTTGTGGATGAAAAACTTAGTTCAAGGATCCCTGTTAATCAAATCGTGTGTCTTCAGAACCACTTTTTGCTTATGGAATGGTCTCACCAGGCTGTCCAGCTAGGAGGGACAGGCAGCTCTGGCGACAGGAATGCAGCTCCCAGTGCAAACATCTCATTTTAATCTTTTGTAACACTTTGCATAATACCAATAGGCATTATACTCCTTGGAAAGTTGAGATGATAATAGCATAAATTTATTCTACTTAATATGTTAACAACTTTAATTTTGAAACAGAGAATTTTATTGTTTTATGCTACATAAGAAAACAATTATGGACATTGTAAAGTTAAGATGTCTTTTTATCATTTTCTTCTTACTTTCCAATTCTAGGGGAAGTAAATATAAACCTTGTAGAATTCCAGGATGGTATACTGAGTGTGCCAGAGAATCAGGAGCAAGGACAGATTCAAGTTGATCTCACAGAAGCAGTGAACTCCGAACCAGTAAGCTTTACCCTTTTTAGCTAATGATAATACTGTAGAATGTATTGGGTTGGTCCAGAAAATATCCATACCCATACCACAGGTTTCATCTCAGGATTCTTGAGGGAATGGGGATTCTATAGACAGGAGTCTTTATGGCTGTGAGCTAGCTGGTATTGCTACTTTACTCGCCCAGAACCTGAGAGCTCTAGCCCTGTGAGTACACATTTGTTATGTGAGACAGTCTTATGCTTAAATACACACACACAGACCAAAAAATTGAAACTTACAAAATATCAACATCCATTTAATGCACTTCTGAATTTTGAGTACCGCCATTCATTTCAATGCTTGAAATAAATTTTCTTTTGAAAACGCAACAGTGTAAGTCATACAAACATCAGCTTTCAATGTGAGAATTGTTAGCTGCATTGCACATGCTCAGTTCAGCTACTTCTTCACCAAGTTAACTCCCAGTGAAGTAGCACTTTCCACCCTCTTACAATTTTGTAAAGTATGCCCTGCAACATGTCACCTGCAAGAGTTATGTAACAGCAAAGGCATTTCACAAAAGAAAGGCCCGATGAATGCAAAGTGCAACCGCCAAAAAGCACTTTTCTCGCAAAAGAAAAAGATGCGAGGTAATTGACAAAAAAGGGTTTTTAAAGGTAATATTCAACTCACAAAGAATAATTCATTTTTATTGGAGGTTGAGGTGTGTCTTTTTTGTTTTTCAATTTTGTACTTGACACACTTAAAGAAGCTGGGTATTCCTTTCAAAGTAGATGGGTGCTGGTACCCAGGTCTCGGCTTCTAATAACAGCCCTGCAACCAAGAGGTACTCTAATAACTTGAGAATGTGACTCATTGCTGAAGGCTTCTGCTTTAGCACAAGTGACTAAACATCCACTAATGGATTTGTTCTCAGTGAAAGCACAAAAAGCTTCAGCAAAATCCACTCTGCAGGAATTGCTTCCTTTCCTCTGGCAGAAAGAAGTGATCCAGGTGTTCACAAACAAGTTCCTTTATTTCATCGTTTCCAAATGTTCCCAATTCTTGAGACTCAAGTGGCCATTTGTGAAAGTCAAACACTGTCATTAGAGACAGTGGCTCCTCCTTCAAGTTGCGAGACTAGGGCCGGGTTGTTCGAAAGCCGGTTAACGCTAACCCAGGTTTAAAAGTTAACAGCAGTATTCATTTTTCTTTTATAAAAATGTTTTTCACTGCTTTTGTTCTGTATAGTGGATTGTGTTCTCAATGAGTTCTCTTGTGGTTTGGTCATCACAGTAACTCACAAAGTTTTCCTGATTGCCAGTCAGCTCTATGTCTCCAAATTTTCTTTCACTAAGATTGAGTTTTCCTGAAATTCTTTCATGTTCATTGCTGGATGAAGTTTCAGGGCAGACAGCTCAATGACTGCTCTTTCAACAACATCTTGAATCTTAAAGATATAGTAAGAAATTCTTCTTTCCGGAAAATTTTTGAAAGCCTTGCAATGACTGGCAAGAAATAAAGCAAAAATACAACATCTTGATGAAGCTGACTGATGTGATCTCTATGTGGTAGCCTTTTGCTCGATTTGAATCTTCTGCCCTTGTTCCCTCAGTGTGGCGATGTTCAACATGCAGTACCACAGTAGCCAGATTTCTTTTCAGTGCAGAAACAGCACATTCCTTGCTTGCCAGCCATCCAACCTGTTTCACTACACTGAAATGAGCAAGTTTGGTTTCAAAAAGATGGTTGATTTCCTTTAATTCCCTTTGGCATTTAGGAGAGAAATGATGATAATTAAATATTCCCTTCAGTGTGTTCTCAAATTTTGCCATTGTGTGGATCCAGATAATATCCATACCCCCCCCCCCCCATGGAGGGTTTTTTTCAGTATGACCCCCCACCCACCAGGATTTTCTGTTCCAGGGGGCTTCACGGTACTCCCACCACCCCCTGGAATTTCCATGATTTTTCTTAGGCCCCCCTACCCCTCGGAAATATTAATTGTAATAAAATTTAGCCGCAGCTGTTTATAGTTACATTGTAGATGAAGACATACTCTTTCACGGTAGACTGCAGACGCGGCGCATTCCTTCATGTCATGTTAGAATGTTTGAACCGGTGTTTGAACTAATAAACAACTGACTTAGAAGTGCTTCACTCCCAGATGGCATAGCCGCTGACTTTTTCGTCATTAAAAGGTGTTTTCATACTGTCAAGAATCTCAAAACGTACATAAAGCTCGCTCAGATAACCCAGTTGAAGTTTTAATTTATGCATGGTCAAAACAACATGTCGAATTACTTTACACACGCAGTTAAGTTGTCATGCAACATTTTTTCAAAACAGCTGTTTCTCAAATGCCGCTTTATTGTTCCTTTCACCAAATGAATACATCAATTAAGTCATACGCTTTGTCTCTGTAGTTTGTAAATGATAGTAAAATCATTTTATGCCTTAGTTTTTTTTAATTTGTCATACATGTCATACGTGAAACACGCATTACTCAGTCATTCTATAAATGACTGAATGAAATCTCGGCTACTGCTCCAACGCTCCTCGCTGTCCACAGTTACATATAGGTCAAGACAAATGGCTTTGAATTGACTTTGCTCACTTAGCAAACTATTAACTACACGGATAACAATGAAAATATGCGATAACCTAGTTACGGCAAGTCCGAAACGGGGAATAATTTTATATGAGTATCAAACAAAATAAACAAAGAACAATGCTGGAAAAAGCATCTGAGCTGCAGTTAAGCTAAGTACAGCACAATCTTCAAAGTATAAAATATCATCATTGTTCATGTATTGCTCCACCTCTTCGTCGGCATTTTGTTCAACTTCACGTCCAACAAACACGATGCTCAAGATTCCCGTCTGTCGTACTACGTCGGAAGAAAAATGGAAAGTATATGACCAAGAATTGAATGCTTATTTCAACGGATGGAACATTTCTGTTGGTTTAGTTACCTGAATCGATTGGGAAAGTACAATAGTGTTCATTCAATTGCATTTCACACCCACTGGAAAGAAAACTCTTTGAGTAGCCCCCCTCCTCGGAAATTTACCTATGTCAGACACCCCTACCCCTCGGAATTTCCGTGACCCTCCGTACAGGGGGGGTATGGATTTTTTCTGGAACCACACATTTGTGGGCAAGATTTGCTTGTATCAAGGACTGCCAGCTCAGGTTTATAGGCAACACAGTGAGTTCCAAGAGCTGTTGGGATAACTTCCTTGATTTGGCTAATGACCCCTCCCCTTTGACCAAGCATAACATTGCAACCATCAAAATTTGCACACACCAAGCTGGGTCCTGGAGCCATGGCTGAAGTTTCTCAAAACTCAGATTTACTGTTTCTAGACCTTTCTGAATGCTGCTGTACATAAATTCCTACTGCATTTGCCTTCTCAAGCAGTACTATTTCAATTAGCCTTGTAATAGCCATGAAATCAAAATCGATATAATGCAAGTAAACAATCTCTTGTTCAACAACAAAATGGTTCTTGGCCACAATACTTTTGATATCATCACGAATTATACTCGCTGCTGACAAAACAAACTTCTGACAAGCATGATCATTGAGGTAGTTCTCACCCAGATCGAGAGACAAAAAAAGTAAGGTTTTTGGAGTGACCTTCTCCTTTAACCAGCCAGCATGTCTATTTTATTTGGGCTATTTTCTAAAGGCTAATAATGTATCCCTTATCCCTGGTAAGGTTTTGGACAAGTTGCCTTAAGATTCTCGTGCTAGCCATAACCCACTTATACCCCTGGGGACTTGTTTAAGGAGAAATTGTGAATTGTACCAGGATCTCTGTTTTCTGGTGTTCAAGATAGATGTACATTAGAGCTATGTAAGAGATGCAAATTGTACAATTGATGTAACTTAGTCAAATAATGCTGCTTTTCCACTTAAAAATTATCTTGAATAACTACATATGTGTGTATCTTGGGGAGCAGTGGAGGTGTAAAATTATAGAAGGAGGCTTAAAAACTTGAAGAGTCACTCCATAACATGAATGTTCTAAATATAAAAAAAAATGTTCTCTTAATTTTTAGAGTACTTATTTTTTAACTGCCTGTCTAAATTAAAACAAAACTACTTTCAGGTCACAATTGTTTGCAGTGTTTTGGAAACTGGTCCTGGCCTAACGAGTGTAGAGTTTAGGAATACCTCAGCCCCAGTTGGTACAACTCAGGTGGATGTTACATTCAGGTATATATTAACTACAGCAAATCATAGATTAGAACTTTCCATCAACTCCTTGATTCAGTGTCCAACTTACTCACCCTAGGGTGACCATTGTTCTCCCTTTTAACTATGGGTGGTCTCTTACCTAGGATCACCAGAGTATGGCATTTGTGACAATCAGGCTTTTAGCCAGGATTTGAAAAGTGGGCATCCAAAATATGCTATAGGGACTGCTCAAATGAACAATTTATAAGACAACATGTGAAAAATAAAACAATTTTCTTTAATAAGTGGCTGTCCACAGGACGCCTAGATGCCCATCTGGCCAAATTGGTGACATTGTTGTCAGGGTTGTAAGGTATTGTCTGTGCAAAGAATGATGTTAAATATGAAAATTATTAGAGATACTTTCATAATACAGTTTGTTCTGCAATATGCACTTGTAGCCCTTTGCTTTGTTCACACTAGTCTGTTCCTGGGTGTGAGAACATGCACGGACCTCAATGTATTTATAAGCTACTGAAATACATTATGTACCAATCAATGTCAATAACTGAAATGAGTAAAATATGCCTGTTTCAATGAGATTTGTCAGCATAATGTGAGAGAAGCATCTTGCTACAAATTCTTCACTTTTCCAATACAAATGTGCACATATGGTACTGGCATTTTTTTGACTTGGCATCAGCTGTTCATACAGTCATGTAACTCTCTTGATTAATGTTTAAGAAATAGAAAACATGTACCGTGTTTCTATCAAGTTATAGAAACCCAAGTGGAAGTTTGGGAGAATGAGAAATGCTGTGGGAACACAAGGCACAGGCGAGTGTTTCCACAGCTTTTTCGAGTTCTCCCAAACTTTCATGAGTGTTTCTATAACTGCGATAGAAACACAGAGAACATGTTTTCTATTTCTTTTAGAAAACACCGCAACGAAAAAAGGAAAAACAGCTTGTTTAATTTGATCATCAAAATGTAAATTCCCTTTGCTCATGCCATCATTACGTCATCAGCTCTTGCTACATGTAGTTCTGTGTTTCTATCAAGTTATAGAAACACGATTTTTAACCAGTCAGCTTGCATATTTTCTTAGGGTTGTTTTCTAACAAATAAAATAAATATTTATGATGCATTGACAGAATCACATCAGCTGGTAGGGCTGTTACAATCCAGTGCTCAGGTCAGAGTGATGGCAACAGCGAACAGTTCACATTTTCTGAATCAAAGGGAAACAATGGGTAATTATTTTTTTCTTATCTACTTACTCATGTCCAAATAAGTGACAACATGAGGGTGCAAGTTTTAAAATATGTTTTGATTTGTTTTACCAGTGGTTCAAAAGTTATTTAAATGCGTTTTATAAATCAAAGTGGTATTCCATCCTTACTGCCCCACAGTGTTACAGAAGCCAAAACCCAAGGAGGCATTCTAGCAGACCCACATGAATAAGGAGTTAATGATGTTGATATTCAAGGAATAATATAGATAATAGAGAATAAATCTCGGTTGAACAGCGAGGTGTGCAAGGTAGTCTTGGGTAAAACTTTCACAGCTTGCACTAAGATAAGACCATGGGATTGTTTTGTTGTTTAGTGTTTGAGGTTTATGAAGTGAGTTGTTTTTGAATTGTTTCTGTTGAATATTCATTAGGCTACACAATTAAAGAAAGAATTTGAGAGCACCAAAGTTAAAATAATCAATCCAAAACAATAATTCTTGCCTTGGACAAAAAAAGGTAGTATGTACTCAATGAGAAAACCAGGGTTGACAGACTTGATCTACAACCAGAATAGATGGGCAAGCAAAGGTCACGGAACCAGCAATCTTTTTAGACTCCACAACTTAAAGATACATACTAAATTATTTCTTAATTTTCCTGACATAACCTTGTTATAACAATCGTGTTCATTCAATCACCTATACCGGTAGTGGAGTTTGAAACATATCACTAGAACTTATTGGATTTTTCCATATCTTAGCTTCAAGCATGGTTTACACTCAGTAAACGAACTGGTAATTTAACTCAACATCTTTACTTAATACAATCCTGTGGTGATCTGACCTTTTTCCCAGTCAATCATCTTGTAAATGACATATAGCAGCTTCATGGTCACTAAGAATATTCAACATTTCACTCTTTGTTGGTCATCCATTTATGAAAATTTAGTTAAAGGGGATTCAGCTTGAGTTGGGGCAGCTTAGTGTAAACTCATAATTATTAACTAGTAAAAGTACATGGTGTTCATGGAGGCACTCTAGAAAATATAATAATTTATTATATAATACATGTATAATAAATTTATATTAATATTGATGTTATCCTGGATAGGGAGTAAGTGGTTATTGTATGTGTTTTAGTCATTTAAGTTTTCTCAACTCATGGTTAACTCATGTACTTCATGTTTAAAATACAAACACAAATTAGTCATTTCTTATCAAATTCATCTACTGGAGTTGAGTTTATTAATTAACTGACCAGTGCAAAAATGTAGCCTATTATATTGAGATGATCATTCTTGTTTTATAGATATGCACCCAATACAACTAGGTAGTAAAAGGTTTCACTGATTACTCCTGTTTGATTGATAATGTATGATAACTCTGCCTGTGTTTTAGGTCATTACGTGTAACTAAAGCACCAACTCTTCATGTATGTCCAGATGTTATTTTGCTTCACAAGTATCTTCCCAAATCAACTTTTCAAGTACAATTCAGGTGAAAATGATAATACCCTGTAGTTGAAAAATTTATTTTAAGCACAGTTAGCTATCACAGTTTGTTAGCTTTTTTGTAACCAACCTAAAAATTTCAAAATTTAGGAGATCCCCAAATTACCTTTCTTGATCGTCCAAAATTAACATTGGTGTTAATTCAACCCCCAAAGTACCTAAAATGAACTTTTTGGGGGGTGAGCAAATCCCTTGGAGTTGTACAGTCATGTAACTATTGAAACATGCCCCTAATGGACAAGAATGTACTTTGGGAAAACAGCACATTCAAGTGTTTGGTACAAGTGGGTGAGTGACAATCTACCTCAGTCCAAGTCTTATAGGCACAAGCTAAGACTATATAACTTTTTTAATAAAAAAGTTAAAATCACACTTTGTTTATTCTACAGTGAGAGGATAAGAGATTTGCCTGTTGATGTTCAATGTTCTGTTGTTGAGTCAGTTGGTAAGCAGATTACAGCTTTCAGATTGAGAAAAAGTGAATTGTTAAGTGGGTCTTTAATGAGTCGGTTCCTCTCTTACCCAGTAAGTCTTGTTTTTAAGGCTTTTTGCCCTGGGTTGGGGATGTAGTGGGAGTCTTGGCATATGGGAATTGGTTGATGAGAAAAGTTAAGATCACACTGGAGACGTCCGAGTGTAAATAATTTGTCTGCAGGAGTTTCAACGGCTTATATCCATCTGTTTGAAAACCATTGATTTACTTGATGTAGCCATGCTCAAATCACCATAATAAAGACTTAACAGATAAAAGGACATTTAATTTCCGATTCAAAAAAGCAAATTTGCAAAGCTTCCAATCAAATTTAAACATATGACAATGAGTTGTGTGGAATGCATGCAAGACACCAAAGAAGTGGTTCATCTCTATAGTGAAGAAAGTCAGTCACATCATGATAGAGATTAAATTGTTTCGTACAAGCCACTAGTGTCTCTAGGTTGAATAGACAGAAGTACGGCAAGCATGAATAAAGATTTTTCACCTGTGTTATTGTGTTATTGTGTGAAATGTGTAATTTTTGGTCTTCATAGGAAACACATCAGGGGTGCTACAGTTAAAACTCACAGAGACAAGGGTTGGTGTTGATGCTGTTACAGCTCAGGTATTTAATTAAATGAGACTCATCACTTTTGTATCTTATGCCTTTTGGATGGAGTACCCTCTTTCCATGAACACAGAGTATTGATGAGATTATTTGATAATCTATCTAAATTTTCACGTAGTGTTTAGCCTTCAGTTGGACTAGCTACACTGTACACTGTAATGTCATCAGGAATAGTTCCATTGTTGCTTGGAGTCCCGGGCAAAGTTTGTTTGATTCGGAAATCCCATTATTTTGTTCTTGACTTGAGACCTATACATTATTTACCACACTTTTTAGAGTTGTAATCCTGATCCTCAGGAGGGCTACTGAACGAAAGTAGCAAGTAAAGCTAGGATAATTTATTTAGTATCCCCTTCCTCCTTCCCATAAGTAGGAGGTGCCCCATAGATGGGACTCATGGTTAATGCACTCACCTCCAGATCAAGCAGTTCTGGTTTGAGTCCTGGCCAAGGAATTGTGTTGTGTTCTTGGGCAAGACTCCTTACTCTCACAGTGTCACTCTCCACCCAGGTGTATCAATGGGTATGGATGAATTTAATGCTGAGTTTAATGACAGATTAATAGCATCCCATCCAGGGGGGAGTAGAAATACTCCTAGTCACTTCATGCTACAGAAACTAGACGTAAGGGCTGGCCTGATAAGCCACTTGGTTTGTATACAGACTTTTTGTTTTTTACCTCACATATAAAATGTTTTTTGTCAAATAAGCTGTATGATGTGAGAACTTGATATTTAAGTTAACCCCCAAAAGAACCTGCCAACAAAATATAATAGAATTCATACCCCAATCCCTCTGATCTCCCAGTCACTTTTTTCCTTGGGTGCCTCTTCCTCCCATCCCCACCCAGCATAGGTTTAGCAGCCTGTCTTTTATTTGTTTCTTTATTGCAGGTTCCTTATGAGATAGTGTCTGTCGGTAGTCCTGTGCAAGTGATATGCAGAGCACAGTCCTCCAATGTCACAGCACTACCAGTGTCCTCCTCCTCCTCCTCCTCAACCCCACGGATCTCACCAAGCAGAAGTCATCAAGTCACAAGCAGTGTGAATCAGATTACTGTGACAGCTGCCTCGGCGTTCAGTTCACTGGCAGTAAGTGGATCTGCATCTGTGGCAGGAGGTGGTGCTAAGAAGAGACGGCGGAGAAGTGTCTCTCCTAACAGGAGTGGACTTCAGTACTGGTTCAACAATTCTGCAGGTAACCACACTCTATATCCACTATTAGTAGAATTCTACTAGTATACTAATGCAAATGCTGTAATCTGATTGGCTGAGCCATTGAACACTATCAGCCATTAGTGTGCAGTGGCTGGAGATCGTCTAGGAAATGACGTTTTTTCGTTCTTCCGAAGTTTTGGAGGAAAATTTCGATGCAAATGGATAATTAAATTCCCGTTCTATCACGAATACCGTTCTGTGATTGGCTACGCTACTCACTATCTATTCTGTGATAAATAGTGAGTGACGTAGCAGTGTACTCTTGTTAACGAAATGACCGCCGCTTCTTTGCGTGTCTGTGAAGAGGATTTAGGTAAAGTTTTGAACGACTGGTAGATTTTTACTAAGCAATTAGATTACTTGCTCTCGATTTCTTTGCGTGATAGAAATCTCGAACTTATAATCAAATTGTTTGGTATGTATATTTCAATATAGTTTCTTGGCTGTTCGAGACTTTAGTGGCAAGAGACAAAAAATTAATGTTACCTTTCCGGCTTTACCTCATGGTTATCTCGAGTTTCGTTTCATATATGTTTTGCGCTATTCCACTTCATTGGAATAATCTTTATGACGAAAATCAAGTTGCGCTACAGAGAGTTAAATGTCTTCATAACCCCTCATTTGTTCTTCATAGAGCTTTTATTCAGTCAAATTTTGTGTGTTGTAAGTATTGGATCATTTTACCGAACAGAACTGAAGAAAATCTAAACCAAAGCAAGGAAAAAACTCTTGAGGGTGGGTGTGAGTGAACAAAGTACATTGTATATGTAGCCCATGAGGTGCAAACCAAAGTGCTATCTTGAAATTACTGAAACCAAGAATAAATGTTTTCTCTCCTTTAAATATCAAAAAGACCATTGGAATGGTTGAAGAACAATGGATGATAAACGCTGTGCCTTCATATTCGAGATAAACGCTTCGTCCTGACGTTTCATACGCGCCGTCTATCGTGATTAATTACCGCTTGCACTGGCGTATCGCGACAACCCCTTTACTTTCTTACACCGCCTGTTCTCTTCGTGGACCCTTGCGCTATGCAAGAATGAAATATAACTGGCAAAATGACACTTTGATTAATTTGTCTTTTGATTTTATTTATGATTTAATTTATCATTTGAATTCACGCTCTGAAACTGCATCTTGTGATCGGAGCTGACCTTTTTGTGGCTTGTTGGTTTTTCCCTTCTAAGCTAAATAAACATACACGGCTGGGTAACAAAAACAGTTCCCATATAATTTCATGAAAGTACTATCAGAATGTGCATAATTTTGACTGGTATTGGCATTTCGTAATTAGATTGAGGAGAAACGGTTGACAGAGAAAATACAATAGCTAGTGCTTTTATTGCATTCACTACTATCAAAATGATTAAAATTCCCGTCTGACTCGTTAACGAGTCTAAATCTTCTGTATTCATGAAAAGGCTTTTTGAAAAGCATTACTAAAAGAATTGTTTGAATAACAGATAGAAGTAGAGGCGAAGTATTATATTTGTGTCTCTGGCTTGTGGACAAGTCAGAGTATTTGTGTTTGGTTTGTTTAAATTGGGGTGTTCATAATTCACTTCATTCAAGCTGCTCTAAACTTTAACTCCTTTTTGTCTCGTTGTACTCACTGACAATAGATTAACCTTTGTCCATGTTTTTCGGTGTTGTATTTGTTCGATAGAGCGAGTCAAATATCGAAAGCGTTTGATGAATTAGAAATTTCTGCCACTAAAAACTGGAGTTGAGCCGAGGAAAGGAAAGTAGTGAAAGAAGCAATGTGGTGGACTTGTTTAAATCTGTCTTAATTTTAAACGTTAACCTTAAGTGTTCAACGTCGTTGACTATGAACTAAACCCGGGGAACTAAAACATCCCGATGCTGCAAACCAACTTGCTGTTTGAATTTGTCCTTATTCTGTGTTTATCTGAGCAATATTCAGGTAAGATCAAACAAACCGTTGCATTACTGTAAAGCATCACAGCTTCGTGTACAGATCCGGTGTCAAAATTGGATTCTTACAATATTTACGTCTGTAAACTACGATAACTAGCAAATGATTTTACTTATTAAATTTAGAGCACCAAGCTGTCTCGGTGGCGGGGGGGGGGGAAGGTGGGCTCCTATAAAAATGATGGGGGTACTGCTGGTAGTCATCAAAGAGTACAAATTAGCGATGGGTGGCAATTGGGGTAACACTTAAATAATCGCGATATCCACAGCGAGCCAAAAGTAATATCACTGTCAGTTGATGTATTGCCTTAGAAGTCGTTCCTCTTTGGGGTAAAAATAAATTTAAGGCACACCCACAAAACGAAATTCTGGTTCCTTTTAGTGGTTCTTTCAAAATTCCTGACGAGCGTGTCGTCTCTCCGGGTCAGCTGCACTGGAATGCGTGTAATGGAACATCCAATCCATAGAAACCTCTGAGTCGCAGTGTTATTTCCTCCTACATGTATTTCTCAACGACGGGAATACTCACGCCAAAGCACAGGTCTCCCAAGCTCCTCGCGAGCCGTGAACATTTGTATTACACTGTTTTCTTCTCAACGAAGAGAGGAAAACAGTGAAACTAAAACTTGCTGTATAATCGCTTTGAAACGGCCTCAAAACGTCACGTAAACGGCAAGGGGCACGTAGAAGGGTATAATTTCTTGGCCATATTTCGAACTACTGTAAACGCTGGTTTCATTCCCATACAAACTCTTATATTTACACTGTGTTACGCCACTGAGTGAAAAATATTTAAAATGTTCACGGATCCCAAGGAGCTTGGTAGTCCTGTGGCTAAAGTAGATTGGATACAAACTCGGTGATTTCCTCTATTTATGATTTTCATCGAAAATAAGAGTCGTAACCATTAAAAAAAATAAAGTCAAGAATCTGGGATGTGATAGATGATTGATACATAATCAACCTCGCTAAAATTTATGTCTGTGCGGTTTTTCATTCGCGCGTTATGTGGGAAAGTGTTTTACCCAGATTTAAAGAGCTTTGTCTGGAGACGCCATGTTGGTGCCCCTTAATTAACAGAAACATCTGTCTTTGAGTTTTGCTATTGAAACAAAAAGTTATTACTCTGTACTCTACTAGTGCAAGAACTGTTCAGTTAAGTCATGTTTTGACCCACTTTAATGTTATGCAACACAAAAGCTTGGAAATTCAAACGTGCTTTATTACAAAACGAAGAACCCTTTCGAGCTAAAACGTTGTAAGACGTCAAGTCCTTAGAGGGTCTTAAATCTGATGAGACGAAAACCTCAGAAAGAAAGGTAATGTTTAATTTTGGATTATGATTCCTGGTAATACTGATTATTATTACATGG